AATTCGGTGATCTTGAAAATGGCATCCCATAATTTTTAAACCGATCTCGATCTCTGAGATTTAAATATTCAACATTCTCTCACGAGTTATTATCTTTACCAATAAATACATATTATTCCGTCCGTTATTCCCAGAAAAAAAAATCCTAAATTCATAAATTATTCATATTTGTGTATTATTTCAACATAATTAATACTTAAACAACAGTTACGGGGGATTAGATTTTTAATAATGCCCGTCCTTCTTAAAAATTTAAATATATTATTAATATAGATGATAATACTGAGAGATTAGTTTATTCTATTCGTTCGGCACAACAGGACACATTCAAAACTCTTGTCGTGACGATGAAATGAAGTTTCATTTGTTTTAACACACTTATGCACACGTCGATTCTTTCACGCATCGTATATCGGGATATCGTAGAAAGTACTGTTATGTCTTCTTACCATTGTGCCTCGCGTTTTAATATTACCATTGTGTACCGAGAGCTAATGAATAAACGATACGCCGTACGTGCTGTCAGCAATACGATACAACCTTAATATGCGTTTCAAATCGTTACTGATTCGAAATTGAATAGTAACACCGTGGATAGATAGTCGAGATTTATTCCACGCTTGTTCCTCTATTATTATCGAATAACGTTCGCGGAATCGAATCTCCCCTCTCCTCTCTTGTTTATAATGAATATATTGTAAATTTATAAGATTTTTAGAAACTATTGTTATATATATAACTCTGAGAACAATTAACTTTTATTTTAATAATCTAGAAAATATAATTTTCTAACGCAACAAAAATCAATAGTAAAATGTTTCGAGTATCCAATTCAAAATTTTTCTATCTTTTCATGATTTTGAAGTTCTTAATCGAGATTCGATAATTTTTTAATAAAAGAATAAACAGAATAACCTTGAAATATTTGAAAGTGGACTTGAGAATATTATTAGAGGATAAACAATTTCTCCAATTTTATAGCTATCTATATCCATAAAATCCTTGTATCTTTCTTCTTCAAAACTGAAGCCATTCTGACACATCAAGACCTCGTAATTACCTGATAAATCAAATAAAATGTACGATACTAAACACATTGCGCGCAAACATCAAGACGTTTGTACATACTTCTATATTCGCAAAGAATCCCAAGGTGTGTCGTAGTTAGAAGTAGGATAATGAGTTGCGCGAATAAAGATCGCAAGCACGCAGGTTTCAATTATTTTCTCAAGCAAGACATTATAACCGGTTCATCATTCGCAGCTTCGAACTATTCGTGCAACTCGAACAATGGCTGTCGCTGTTGCCGCCCACGTTGATTTTCTGTTGAAAAGATCAACACTTTCGATGCGGCTATCTCGGTGTAACACGACGAACACCGATTTCTCAAGAAATTCTAAATTTATTTCGTCGAAGAAATAAAATTTATCCTTCCATTTTTGAACATTTTCGACGAAACCTTTCATTCCATCCAATCACCAATTTACCAAAAATCTTCTTTTTTATATTTTACGTGGAATCTGAAATGACGAAGAGCAGAACAGTGTTATCCTAAACGAAGGATGGGGAAAAGAAACATCGAGAGGATCTCGAATACTTAAGACAATTGTCCGCGTAGGAGGTCTGCAAAGTATCCGAGGGTAAAGAGAGGAGAGTGCATGGCCGTGAGACCAACAGCCTCTTTGTTATCGCTTCTCATTTTACTCTCAAAGAAAGAAAGTCTTTCATTGTTGTTTGGTCCAGACAAGCGGCGTCTGGAAATCCTCAAACACCGCCGGATCTTTGAAGAAAATGGTGTTTCTTTACTTGCTTGGGAATATCGCTTCCTAATTGACCTAAGATCTTTGGGTTTAGAGCACTCGAGATGTACTACTTGAATTGTGCTTACATTTCAATAAGATTTAAGATTTTTACTGGAAGAAGAATCTTCTTTTATTTTTATAGTATGGATTTTTAAAAAAATTTGGAACTTTTTTTTTTGATGATAATTTTGCTATTTTTATGTTCGTGTGAACATAAGTGTTTGAGAGAGCAAATGACGTTTGTGTGTTAAGTGATCCATTCACTTCGCCAAATAAGAAACAGTTACAATTATCTCCAATTATCTCCAATTTCATATATTACTTTATACGGTACTTTATAACATTGAGGACCATTAAATTAAAGTAGAATTTGTACGAGATTTTTCTGGTCGTTCATTATTCGAACCTTTATTGGTAACGTTCTTTTTTTTTAAACCTTTCACAATTAACTTGTTTAACTTGTACTATAAATAATCGTTTTAAATTCACGAATTTTTCCAAATTTTAATTTTTATTTCAAACATTATATATTCTATTAATAATTTTATATGCGATTCGATTAAGAATCGAAAGATTCCTTTTTCTTTTTTTAATTTCCAAATTTAAAATATAATTCCTTACGATTTTCTGTTTCATTCGAAAACTAATTTACTCCAAGAATCCAAGCATGGCGCCATGCAAATATAAAGACCGGTTGCGGAGGCGTCGTCTAAATCAATTCTGTTTCGTATTTCCAGTTGGAACTTGCTTAAAAACGAATCGACTCCATTCTGAACTCTCAAAGTTTCTCGCGTTTTATCGATCG